TATATTTGTTAGAAGTGATTGGTCCCCTTAGAATTTGGTAATAGCTATTATATGAAATAATACCAATCAAATGTTTGATTATATTAATTGACATTTACTCTAATAAAATATTTCGTACGCGCGCGCGCGCGCGCGCGCGTGTGTGTGTGTGTGTGTGTGTGTGTGTGTGTGTGTATTTCACCTTTATTTCTGCATAATTTCTTACAAGAAAACTTTATGACTTAATAACAATCGATTTCAACGAAGCTGATTGCAATAGATATTCACGTCGAATGTTACGGGATAAAAGAATTATAGCCACTACTCAAGCGTTTGCGAAAAAATCAAAATTGAAAATTTCGAACGCTTAATAAGCCAGTTCAGTAGATCGTTTAATCGAAGAGCTCATGACGCAGTGGCAGCGCATCTTAATAACTTCGATATTGCGGGTCCGAATCCTAAACTTTTTTGACATTTTTTTTTCCTTTTGTAGGATACAATTATTTCACAAAATAAATGTATATTCATAGATTAATATATTTTGTATATTGTACATTACAAATGCATTTTTCCGTTTGCATTCTCTGTCCAAGAAATCCGTTCAAATAATTATATACACAATACGAATAAATGTGTTTTATTCATTAGAAATAGATGGTATAATACATGTTGCAGAATATTTATCATAAAAACACGAAAAAAAATCATTTTCGCGGCATCTTGCGCATTTTATAAAAGTTGCTCGAAATTTTCAATTTTGATTTTTTATCGCTATAATCAGTTTCATTGAAATCGATTGGTATCACATCGTGAAGTCTCCCTATTAGAAAAAATTTCCTGTGCTCATATGACCCCTAGAGAAGGATGCTCATATAAACTTACCCAGAGGGTAATATGAGCACTGGATTGGTAATAAGAGCATTCGCCATCATTTCAACATTTGCATTGAAATAATCAATTTCAATACTAAGATACATAGAACATCAATAAATCTATCAAATGATATGCATAACATTTTTTTATTTTTCAGTATGCTAGATATCTCAAAATGTTTCCTTAAAATGTGCTCATTCGATTTCTATATATGTCGTTGAATTTATCTCATCACTTGCAGGAAGTGCAGAAAATAAAATTATCGAAAAAAAGAGAAAGAGGAAGGAAAGAGGAAAACGAGAAAAGAAGAAGAAAGAACGAAAAAAGAACAAAAAGATCAATTTAGAATAGAAAAAAATTATAATTCTATTTATAAACACATATTAAATATACATGACTAAAAAACTCATTTTCGATCAAGGTAATTCTTATATTTATTGTGAATTTATAGAATCTCTAATTCAACCTCTGCGCCGATAATTTATCGATCTTGACACACGTTCGAAGCTGGAGTAGTAATAACGCAAATTAAATTGACATTTTAATATTACAGCTGCAAATAAGCATCGTAAAAAGCTGTTAATGATTTGATACTAATGTGCCATTTAAAAACTGTAAATAATTTATTGCGAAATATTATCCTAGCCTAGGATTTTCTGTATTCCGTGCAGGCGTATTCCTCTTAATTAGACATATTAATGATATTAATAAAAGTCGCATGCTATAAAAAAATGTATTATATGTATTATATTTTCTCCTTAAAATCGTAAAACTTTTGTTTAAGAATTATACTTTTTTCTTTGACACACACACACACACACACACACACACACAGAGTTTAAATTACATCACCACCCATCTTGAATAGATAGAACGGATTAAACTGAGTCGAAAAGTCCTGTACCATTTTGCAATATTCGCAATAATTAACAAGATATTAATTACTAAAAATCGCTAAATATTGGTCTTCAATAATTTTTTACTTAAATATTAATTTTACAGAAAAACAGTAAGAGATAAAAATGATTTTTTTTTTCTCATAAAGTTTTGAGAATTTTTTCAGAATTTTTTATACCGTATTTTCTGATATTGATAAAAATAAGAAAATGCATTACTAAAAAGTTGATAAAAAATTCTGAAAACATTTTTAGAGTTCTATGGAAAGAAAATAAATAATTTTTGTCTTTTGCAATTTTTCTGTAAAGTCTTAATAGAAGGGACAAATATACATGCACAGAAACGAAAGATTCTTTGAATTCTGGTTAACATGAATAAGTATTAAGTACAATGTTGTGGGAAATGCAGATAAGATTATTGCTCCGCATTCCTTTTATTGTTAAAACTACAGTCATAATAGTCAGCCGAACGAATAGGTTATTAGAGTCGAGTAGTATAATTAGCGCTTGGAAGCCTCATATACTAGAATTCTATTATTATACTGGACCGCTTAAACTCAGTTGGTCTTGGCTCTCTGAACCGTAAGAACAGCTTCGCTTTTCGCACACCTGAGAATCAGAGCTACCGCGTTACGTGACCGGTCCACTGTCTCTAAAAGCAGAACAACGCAGTTGTTCAATTATCCTCTTGACCGATACGTCGATTGTGTCTCGCGAACTTGTTTATCATTGTTTTCCCATATTATCGTTGTGACTATTATTATTTAGTGTAAACAAAGAAGAAGATATAAAAGAAAATGCCGTACTATAACGATGTGCCATACTATTATGGAGGAGGAGCTTACGCTAATCATAGTTCGTTAATGACAGGAATAGTACGGTAAGAATAAAGACAATTTTAATTTAATGCAATTGAAAATATTATTATTTATATATAATATTTAACAGATAAGCTTCTTTTGTAGTTTATTTTTATTGAATCAAAATAATTCTTTTTTTTATTCGAATGGACGTTTATTGGTGGAAATCTTTCTCAAGGTCGTTAATATGTACATGTTTTGAAAATTAGCTAAATTCGACAATTATTGTGTGACTTGCTTATAGACAAATTAAAATTTTTAATTGAAAAATTTATATTTATTATCGGGATTGATTTTGGTTTAAACTTTTATAATTTTTCAGAAAAGTCATCATTAAACTCAGTACTAAAAATATTTTAAAAACAATTATAAAATATGTATATAAACACATAAAACGTTATGATTTTTATGATTACGAATAAAATTTGTTATTGGCAAGACAAACAAGTCTACGACAGGTACGGCATATTACATCACTTATTATCGTTTGATGACAATAGCCGCGTTCAGCAGAAAAAGCTTTGTAACTGTTGTAAAATTCTTTAATATGATTGATCTTATCCTTAAGTTCTTAAATTTAAATGAATCAATTATATTCAAAAATTTTACAACAGTTGCAAAGCTGCTTTTTCTACTGAAACGCAGCCAATGATGATGAATTTAGGAATTAATTATAAACGATATCACTTCTGATGACTTCGATGATGATCATAGGTATAAACCGATGATCATCATCGAAGTCATCAGAAGTCATAAACCGATGATCATCATAGAAGCCATCAGAAGAAGAACAAATATTAAATTCATAATTGATATTAATAAACTTATACATATAAATCGCATATATTTATTTGTAAATTTGATATTCAAAATATATTTTAAATAATATATTTATGAATAATATATACAGGGTGTCCTAAAATAATCGCCAAATATTTCATGGGCAGGTAAAGCAGAATTAAATTAAGTCGAAAAGTCCTCTACCATTTTGTAATTTTCGCAATAATTAACAAGATATTACTAAAATTACTAAAAATTGCCGAAAATTGGTCTTCAATAATTTTTTAGTCAAATACTATCAATTTTATAGAAAAACTGTAAGAGACAAAAAAATTGTTTATTTCCTTTTTGTAAAATTCTAAGAATTTTTTCAGAATTTTTTCAAAATTTTTTTATACCGTATTTTTTCATGTTTGTAAAAATAAGAAAATGTAGTACTAAAAAGTTAATAAAAAATTCTGAAAAAATTCTTAGAGTTTTATGAAAAGAAAATAAATAATTTTTATCTCTTACAGTTTTTCTGTAAAATTGATAATATTTGAATAAAAAATTATTGAAGACTAATTTTCGGCAATTTTAATAATTAATATCTTGTTAACTATTGCGAAAATTGCAAAATGAACTTTTCGACTCAATTTAGTCCGCTCTATCTGCTCATGAAATATTTGGCGATTCTTTTAGGAATCTTTTTTACTCTCTGTATATATTATATTATTTTGTAATATTTTTTCGATATGATTTATGTTAACCCTGTCAGACTTGATTTTATTGGAACCATGTTAATTTTTAAATTTAAATTCGTACTTTAATATTGCAAGTAATTCTTACTAAACAATTGTTTTCAAAATTTTTATTATTTTTCCAACATATACATTATTATGTACATCAGATCTTAAATTATGTAAATAGAATTAAATAATTTCAATGAACAATGTCTTTAAATTTGATGTATTACAATGTATATAGGATCTGAAAGGGTTAAGACTCAAACTTCTAGGCTTCTGTTTTGTATATGATATAATCTGAACATTTATACTATTTATATATGAAATAAACAACGAACGATTCATGAGAAAAGTATCCGCCAAACAGAAATTAGTTTATGTAAATTATGACTCACTAATTCCAAATAAGATTATGATCAAATGAAAATATATAATGCCTTGTTGAGTCAGCCATTGGATGTACGTGTGAACAATGATTTATTCCAATTAAATGTACTTTTAAATTGAATAAATCATTGTTCACACTTACATTCAATGGCTGGCTCAACAAGGCCTTACATATTTTCATTTGATTTATCTCGAGTGAGCTTTTAAGTTTCATTGTATTTATAAGATTGTGATGTTTCGCACAGAATGCCTTTTCACACTTCATTGTCGCGTTTCTCGCCGCACTTGTCGACGATTTCCGAATCACCACTCAGCCATCTGCATCGTTTCTCACCGATCTCTGTGAGATCAACTAGACGAGTGATTGATACGGCTGATATCGATGTCTCATCATCGAAAATACTCTCGCACAATAGGAATCCTTCCAAAAATCTACGTCGCGATCGGCCAACTATCAAAATCAGATCGCAGGCCCTGAAAGACAATCCAGCATTACGTGAGCACTACGAGAAGCATGAAAAATCAGTAGGTGAACTTTTAATGGAGAAGTTTTTTATTAAAGACAAGAAGTTAGTAGACAACGATAGTAATCAACAGAAAATACATTTAGATCATCAAATTAATTTAGATCGTTTAGAAAATTCAGAGGAGCGAGAAGCTGTACAGAAGCGAATCACTCGCAGATTTACGCGACGCAGATCTTCCTCCGATTTGCAACTTAATTCCGAGCAAATGCAACGAGAGGCTGCGTACGCGCAAGTACAGGCGAAAGTCTTAGACAGTCTCGTAGCAGAGGAGCAAGCTCAGATCGAGAATGAGACACGTCGAGGTACTTCAATGTTTAAAAAGGGAACGACGGCAAAAGGATTACTCGAACATCCTTGCGCGAATAATATCGATTCTGATATGATGATTCAGGAGGAAGAACAAGCGGCTATGACAAGGATAAAGAAAACTATGAAAAAAACAAAAAAAAAGAGATTTGTTGATAAATTATCATCGATCGATAAGATTGATAAAAGACAATCAAGCACCTCTAGTAAAATTTCCATTGATTCGCAAATTACAAAGAATGATGAGTCAAGACCTCAGATATATAAGATCGAGGCATGTAATAGCGCCGGGGATTTCTCCACATTCTGGATGAATACAAATGCAGAGAACAAAAGATGCAAATCAATAGACGAGAAATTTAAGGAGAGTATAAGAGTCTCTATTCCTAATAGATTTGGAACTGGAAACGAAGTGGACGTTATCTCGAACGATGCAAACGAAACAGAAACGCAAGTTGTGTTGACAGTGCAAAAATCTTACGTAAAGGATACGTCGAGAAATAGCGTGCGTTTGACGATAAAAAAACCTACAGAAAAACTTACCAAGAAACTCAAAGAAATCGAGAAATTCGATGTGAAAGCCGATGAAAATCAATTGAATTTAACGAAAAGCTTCATCGACATCGAAAATAATATTCTTACAAATAATATATCAAAAAGTTTAACAGATGTAGATTCAGTGGAGCCGAATTACAAGATTCAAATGACAAATAATATTAAAGACTTTAAAGCATTAAGAAAGGCAGTATATAAATCTAAAAATATGGAATCCTTGGCAAGAAATGATATTCCCATATCGAAAGATGACTCGTCGAATAACCGAGATACTAATATTTTAGCAACAAAAAGCAATATGCGAGAAATCATTACTGAAGATTCATCGTTCTCAAAGGAAACTGAGACAACTCCTATACAATCGAACATTTTAGCTTTTATTTCAACAAATCCATCGAGAAACGATTCGCAAATAGAAAATTTTCGAGGAATATTGGAAGACACTTTCATTGCAAAAATAAAAAATAACAAAAGTCAGAAGGATTATTTGATTGATAATATTACCAAGAAGATATTTGACTACTCGGAAGTCGATTCAACTATCAAAACACCAAAAGTATTTATTAGAAAAAATTCTGTCGCGTCCGTTGAAAGTGATAAGTTCATATCGGAAAAACTCACGTCAAAGAGTTTGGTGATGCCGCACAACGAGAATATGATAAAACAAAACATTATTAAAAATGAAAGCAGCGACATTGTTGGTAAAAACAACATTAGCGATACGATGCTTACAATAAATAGCGCGATCTGTCGTCTGCCAAAACTGTCTAAAATTAATACGGATAGAAATAATGCCGTAGAAGCGCCAAAGCTTCCGTTACGAGAGGCTGCAGAGTATCAGGTGGACTCGCTAAAAAGTGATCATGACGTCGAGACCGCGGCTGTCGTATTGCCGGAAAAGAAGATGAACAAAACATCGAACTTGGCGCAAGTTTCTTCCTTCAATGCCTCGAAGAGAACCAATAACGTAGACGCATATAAATTAAGTTATAAAATCGATGCAACTCGACACAATAAAGCAGTCAAATTAGAGACTAACGAAACGACCTTGCCCAAGGAAACAAATGACAAAGTATATAGTAGTGAATACTGTGACGAGGCAAAACTAGCAGCGGATATTAAGCCGACAGAAGATGTCAGTCTGACGAAAACATCAAAAAATAATGCGAAAGGGACTGACGAAAATATATTAACCTTGAAAACAATTGATTCATCAAACATCGAAATTGAAACGATTTTTACCGAAGCGGATGCAAAAGAAGCGGAACTAAAGACTGATTCAATTAAAAAAATTAATTGTATTGACGTAGGAAAGGATTCTTTGAAAGATTTATCGAATTTCAAGAGTAAGATGCCGATACTCTTAGAAAATAATACAAATGAAACTGGCATTGCGAACTTGTCAAATATTGGAAAAGATTTAGATGCATTTAATATAATAAAAATTGAAAATGGAAAATCATTTTTGTGCGATAATGCTAACGATGAGACAAGAATTTTGAAAAAAAACATGTCTGTTGATTCTTCGAAATTGATGAACGATCATTCAGCGAATAATATTTCCAAGGTTTTCCAGCAGTCTGTATCTAATGATGAAAAAGCCACAGATAAAGATATATCTGTTAAGATGTCAAAGACAAAATCTGTAAATAAAATAATAGAAAAAAAATCAATGAAAACCGATTCGAATTATAACTTTCAAGATGAAAGTATAATATTATCGAGAAGCACTTCTACCGAGTCCATTGATTTTTGGAGCGAAATCAAAGCGCCGAATAGTCCTGAAATGACGAGATCGAAGCAACAAAATGGATTTCCTCTCCGCGAAACAAATACTTCTAAAATTGAAAAAAACATGAATTCGATGAATTTAAAGAGGAAAGGTAATGAAAAAAAAATTGAGATTGATGTTAAAATGAGCACTACGACGTTCGAAAGTTCGATAGACGGATTTAGTAATATAATCTTTGAAAAGGAGAAAGAAAAAAAGAAAAATGTTTCGAAATCTTTAATATTAGAAAAAACAGAAAAAGAGAAACTTGCAAAAACAATGGAAATCGAAAAAAACATGCCGACGGTGCAAAAGATACCATCAAAAAAGAAGAATTTTTCGATAATGATCGACACTAAGAACACAAGTCCGATTGTGAAAAAAGCTTCGTTGAAGTGCAACAATTTCGGTACAACTTCCGTGACTACTTCAGTCGAAGTTATCATGCCAGAAATAAATATAGTTGAAGCATCCAAGTTGTTCAAAGAGTGCGACAATCGGAAAATCGAGGAAGAACATGAAAATCCAAGCACTCCAACAAACGAGTTGTCATTTAATCCCTCTTTAATCAGGAAAATTTCAAGATGGAGCAATCAAGACGATTTGACAAACATAGATGATGTCGAAACTCCAGTTATATCAGAGGAAATTAGTTTGGTCACTAGTCCTAGCGTTAGTCCTTTGCAATCTTCCAAAACGAAGCATGCGATTAAAAAGAAGAAACCATCAATTAAAAAGGCATTATTAGAAAAAAGTGAGAAGGGGCTAAAGGAGATTTGTAATAATGAATTAATAACGTCAGTGAATGAACGGAATATGTTTATTACAAAACTCGCCCCCGAGAAGCAACATCTAGTGAAAATTTTGCCAAAAACGTCTCCCAAGTCCAGTCCGAAGAATACACCCTTACAACGGCCACTCGATCTTATGAAGATATTTTACACGACGCCGTCCGCATTGCTTACGGCTACGCCACGGGATCTCTCCAAAGTCAGACGGGCAAAGATCAAAAGAAGACGACATCACTCGCGAACACCGTCTATCAGTAGCGACAGTACTGAAAGTACGACGAGTACTATCACGACGAGGAGTACGGAGAATGGATCGACTCGCGTTGAACTGAATGACGATTCCAAACATAAGAGAATGAATTCAACAAGGAGCAACGATTCCGGATTTGATGGTTCACCGAGAATTTTGAGTACTTATTTTGCGATTGTTTGCATCGAAGTTTTGCCATTGAATATATCTAAACAGATTCTAAATATTTTTTAGGGAGAATACTTTGACGATGTGATATACGAGAATGATTTTCCAAATAATTTTTGAAACATTAGAAATGATGATTAAAACTAAATCGTTAATTAATTTCGAATTATATTGGAAAAAGATAATGGGATATAAACATTAAAGTACAAATTTATTTAATTATCATTAAAGTTCAGATTTACATAATTGATATTATTAATTCAATACATATATTACGCATAAATAACAAAAGTAAAATTTTTTTAATTAATTTAAAAATTGAACATAAAATAATTCCGCCCATACTTTATAAGAAATTATCTACCGAATTTATTCATATTTTATAATTTTAATTCATGCTGATTTCAATTCAAAAATATCAATAAACACAACTTTTTATAAGTTATAGTTTAATCTCTAGAGGACGTTGAAGGTTAATAATTTTTAGAATTATAATATAAAAATTATCGTGTTTACAATTCCTATTAGTTTTAACAAGTAAAACACCCCATCACGTAAAGATGTCTGCAATTTCAAATTAGAACTTTAAATTATAAGAGTAGCGGGTTATAATAGGAAAACGCAGTTATCGGCATGTAAAATGGAGCTAACAATGCGCTACTCTTATAAATCTAGATAAAATAAATCTAAAAATAGAGCTCTAATTCAAATTTTATCCATCCTTCCAATCACAGATTTCTATAACTAGATTGCACTTCAGTTATTAAACTTTGCATCTACAATGCTAGAAGTCGATCTGAGATCTCGAATGAAGAAAGAATTGACCAATTGCATTGATCATAAATAAACATTCGCATTAGGCTTCATATTAAAAGGGTCATATTGTATCTGATCAATAATAATAATAATAAAAGTATTTCCAATTTATCTCTATCCTTTATTTATCTATCCTTGAAAGCTTGTTTGCTGTGCACTTGCGCGTGATTTATATGTAAGCTTTGAACGTGCATGTGTATATTCTAAGATGAGAGTACAATACTTTTAACATTACATAATAATAATCGATGCATGTGCATTACGATGAAGCATTTAAACAAGGACAGATAGATGTTGGAGCCATCGACAGTTACCTATAGCCCTTTCAGTGTATGTGGTCTAAGATATTAAGTCAAACCCTTCTTCAAAAGTCAATGACCATGATATATAATATCAAATATATATCCCTGAAAACAATTGAAAGAATTTAGCCGTCGTTTGTTTATTAAAAACAAAATTTTATTTAAAAATTTATTTAACATATTATTTTTCCACATGTGTATATGCTCTTTATGTATTAAATTAAATCTTCACTTTACTAAATATCGCTGAATCTATAACACACTTAAAAATAATATATGCCGAATAAATTAGATAGATTCCTATGCAATGTAAGACATATATTGAATATATCTATTAAATTTTTCTGTTACTAAATATATATCTACAATATACTAAAAATAATGAAAACTAAAAAAATTAGACAGATTCGTATGTAAAGTAGTATCAAAAGCAAAATTGTAGCATATGTTACAGTCAGTAATAAACATTCATTCATATTCTTTTTTTAATCACTCTTTTTTTAATGCACTTTAATATCTAATTCTTCAATATTTTTTTCTCATTTTAAACATTAGTTAATTCTTGTTTAATTCTTGTCTATCAAATATTAAACAAGGATAAATGATGAAATGCAAAACGGAACGCACTTTAGGATAACATCGAAATTTTGAACATAGAGCGGAATTATAACAAATGATTTATTTCAGAAATAATAAACATCAAAATAATTGCATTAATCTGAAAATAAATACTGAATTGTTAAATGCCAAGCCTTGCCGTTTTTTAAACAATCGTAATGATTTAACTTGTTTTGATAATAATTTTGATTTTGTTCTTAATGATGACATTAAGTCTAATATTATCTTCTGACTTCTGTTAGGTCCACATTCTGTAGTTTACCTATTTATTTTAGCAATTACTATTTGTGTTACTACATCTTTTTGGTAATTTTTAACTTTATATATAATATTTTAAATTTTCGAACTTTACATTTACATTACATATGTATATTTTTCATGTTTTGTACATCTGTTTGCGTTTTCATGAGGTCAATTAATTTCTATAAATATTTATTTCCCTTTTTATATCTTACTGTTTTACATATTTAATAATATTATCATATTCATTTGAAACCACCCATCTTTATAAGTGATTGTGGAATAATTCCCATCTTATAGAGGAGAAATCGCATTAAAAATCGGGTAACGAGTAACATAGTTTAACATAAGAGTTTACTACGATCATTTTATTTTTGACTGAAGATGATTAAAAATTAATAGAAGTGTACTTTAATTGTGAAATATTTTTTAAGAAGTACATTAAATGATTTAATATTAAGTGCTAGCTTAAATATTTGCGCATTGTTTACAACGCATTGTTTACATTCCCATTAGCCCAAATTTCTTCTTTCTTTTGTTTTAGACATCTTAAATAATACAAGCACTTATCAAATATGTTTAGGATAACTTCGGTATATACGCCAGACCTTAAAAAACTTAATTTATCAAGTATTAATTACTATATGTATAAACAATAAATAAATTGTATCAATAAAAACTTTAGATTGTCTATTACGAAAAAATATTAGAAATTTAAAATATTTACTTTTTGTATTAAAAAAAAACTTTTTAAACTTTTGCATTTTTGCAGTATAGAGGTGAGACAAGAGGTACGGCAAATAAAAAAATTTACAAACAATGTTTACAAATAAGGCATAAAAGACATAATAACTTAAAATGTGTTTACAAAGTTTTATTAAGGAATAAAAAAATGAAAGGAATAAGAAAATATATACTATATATAGTGAATGATAATACATAATATGTTAAATCTGTAGTATCTAATTTAAATTAAGTAAGTCACTACTGGTCCTATTCAACATATCGTTAAAAATAATGGTAAAATTTAAAACTACGTAGTGTCAAATTTAATCATTGTTTTAATATAAAATAATATATTGAATAAAAGCGTAGCGATTTAAATTATGTTAATCTTGATACTATAGATTTAACAGTATCTATATGTATATACATATTTTGTGTGCGTGCGTGCGTGCGTGCGTGCATGCGTGCGTGTGTGCGCACGGGATATCCCATCTAACTTGAGCATTTGAAATATGTTGCTTGATTTTTACGGATAGGAAGAAATGTTCCAAATGAAAGTGGAATGATTTCAATGAAAATGTTGTCTTTCTTCTAGATGGAGGTATCAAAAAAGATATGAAGTCACTTCTATTTTTAAAAATGGAATGTATGATTATTTTTACACTCTTCTAATTAAAATATTCAGGGGCAGAGACATAAAAAAACCAACAGTTTAAGAGATATTTTATACTTTATTCTGATACATATTGACATAAAAGGTTGAAAATAACTCGTAAACTACTAATTTTTTGATAATCGTTAATACTTTTATTAACAGAATAATAAGATGAATCAATTGGTGTAAAGAAAACACGTAGTTGCTTATTTAAAAAATAATCTATTTTACCAATACATTTTTTTTTAAGCAACTACAATCAAAAACAGATTGTAAAAAAATTAATAATTTACGAGTTATTAAACATTTTATATCAATTTGTACCAGAAAAGTATACAATATCTTAAACTAATTGATTTTTTTATGTCTCTGCTTAAATACTTTTATATGCATAGTAATTAGAGGAATCATATTGTGTAAAAAAATAACACAATTTCATTTAAAAAAGTCGTGACTTTCATCTTTTTCTTTTGGACGCCTTCATCTAGAAGAAAAACAACATGACCGAAATATGCCCTCATTGAAACTGTTCCATTTTCATTTGAAACATTTTTTCCTATCATATAAAAACCAAGCGAGATATTTCAGCTGCTCGAGTTAGATCGGGCATCCTGTACATATGCATATACAGGGTAGTCCATTTAAATCTGAAATATCTTATTTTTAATGATATAAAACAGTGCTGGAATTTACTTAACTTTCACACGATTTTCAGCTTTCCCTTACTTCACCGACTCGCGCAGTCTAAATACCGATCGATATTTAAGCAATTATATACTGTACCAAAATTAAAGTACATGAGTACCAAAAGGTACGTCCTCCTTGAAATCGGTCCACTTTCACTTGAAACATTTTTTTATATCGTTAAAAATAAGAGATATTTCAGATGATCGATTTAAATAAACCACACACACACACACACACACACACACGCGCGCGCGCGCGCGCGCATATACATATAGTATATAAATCGATTATTTCATCAATAAGTTTGTATCAATTAATTTTATAGCTTTCAGTTTTGTCGAATGTTACATTTTACAGTTTGATCCAACTTGATGATTCAACTACATACAAGATAAGAATGATGGAGACGAAAGTTTAGAATCAGATAAGTCATGGATTTGTAAAGATGAGAGTAAATTTACAATTTCAAGTACTTCACAAGGTATTAATTATTTATAACCTATACTGTAAAATCCTAGAATAATAAAGAATCTATTCAAGTATACTATTGTACACGCAAAACGAAAGCATGAACATTATTTGTATTCGTGTTATTAGTATCTTATGATACTTAGAATGTGAGATATTAAAATATAGAATATTCATGAAGCGATTAAAATATTTTATCATCAGATCTTTTAAGCAGGATACAAGATGCAACTAACAAAACTGTGATGATTACGATTATATTGATTAAAAGATTATATCTACTAATTATTGGATTTGATGTAATCATTAAAAATACTTTAATTTTATGGCTCAATGATTGAATTTGATTTGCAGACATTTTTATGTGATGATTTACGAGATGTTATACTTATCAAAAGTTACAGCGAATTGGAAACATGATAATTTTTACATTACGATTTAAAATCCTATTAATTTTCAACGCTCTTTAAAGGTTAAACT